GAACTGAATCAGTTTGTAGATAAAACGTCTCCGTCACTCTGTGGTCAGGTCCACACCTCCCACTCAGCCTGAGTCAGCTGCTGAGACAGATCTGTCTTCAACATGTCTCAAAGAAAAAAGACGACCATCTTAAGGACAAGAACTGTCCTTAAATGTGATCAGAGACTGATGAACTGAGGTTTTCTTTAACTCCAGAGGAATTCTCTGATGTTCTGGGGGCTTCTTGTTTTTTGCAGGTATTTCAGGGCCGTCTTCAGAGGTTCTGGATTTATTTGTGGTTCTGGAAGCCCCTCCCCCTCCCTTCAGAACAGGCAGGCTGGTGATGATGATGATGATGATGGGGGCAGGGCGGCTCTGGGCCTTCCTCTCAGCCTCGGGGCCACTGACAGCTGCTCAGCGAGGAGACGAACCACATTCTGCAGGACTCAGAGAGGTTGTGGGTGTTCAGGGTCCAGCCCGGCCCGGTCCAGCTGAAAAGAAAAGCCTTGACAAAGACGTCTCCATGTTGACTCAGTCTGTCCACTTGAGTCAATATTAGCAGGAACTGCGGTCTGAGGCTGGGAGGAGGCAGGACTATTTCCTGCCCGGACCTGGGATCTGATGATCTGGGTCACACGGTCTGACCCACAGGATGTGGAGAATGAGCCAGTCAAGATCCTGATCCATGTCTTCCTGGAACCACATGAACTGAGCCGAGTTAAAATCATTTGTTTTCAACAAGATCCTGAAGAAAAAACTGAATAAATAAAGAAGAGTCAAGTCTGACTGTCCAACTGTGTCTGACTGTCCAACAGTGTCTGACTGTCCAACAGTGTCTGACTGTCCAACAGTGTCTGACTGTCCACCAGTGTCTGACTGTCCAACAGTGTCTGACTGTCCAACAGTGTCTGACTGTCCACCAGTGTCTGACTGTCCAACAGTGTCTTGACTGTCCAAATGTGTCTGACTGTCCACCAGACTGTCCACCAGTGTCTGACTGTCCACCAGTGTCTGACTGTCCAACAGTGTCTGACTGTCCAACTGTGTCTGACTGTCCAAATGTGTCTGACTGTCCACCAGTGTCTGACTGTCCAACTGTGTCTGACTGTCCAAATGTGTCTGACTGTCCACCAGTGTCTGACTGTCCAACTGTGTCTGACTGTCCAAATGTGTCTGACTGTCCA